AAAGAAATGGTTCGAGGGTTTGATGTTCTTCTTCTTCCTTTTCTTCCCGGGAAGGTGACGTCGTGATGGCTCAGTCGGGCATGTTACCCATCCTCCCCCACACCCGACCCGACGGTTACATCGAGCAGGCCGCATTCGCTAGTCCGCATGTTGAGGGCGACATTCATTTCACAAAAAGCCACAGACGACGTATTAGTAGGAAAGGAGGGAACATGCTTGGAGTTGGAAAGGGACCGGATTCAGCCGGCCTCGCTTCCCCGACGTTGGAGCATTGGGGGCGAAAACGTGCCGACTTTCCTTTTTTCCCTTTCTTTTTCTTTTTTTCACATATGCACGCGTGTCCCGCATTGCAGGTACGAGGGGGGGCGGGAGGGAGGCGTGTGCTCGACAAAAAGGCGGCCCATTACGTAGGAGGTAGGCAATGGGCAACTTAAACTGTACCACCCTGGGTCATGGTCATGTCACGACGTCGCGTCCCGCCGCCACCGCTGACTTTTTGACTTTTTTGACCGAACTCCTTAGCTGTCATGGAGGGCGGCCCGTCGCCGCTTCCCGCGCGCGCCGCGGCAGGCGGGGTTGCACATGGACTTGACATTCCTATTTTTTTTTTTTTATCTTTAAGTTTTTTCTGCCTGCTCCCCCCCTTCCTCCCTGCTCACCGGCTCTAGCGCTTAGGGCTAGTGCGTGACCGGCCAGATGAACCTCAGGCTGGGCCGGCGGGCCCTCCATGCAACCCTGTTTTGCCGCCCGTTAGTGCCGTCCGTTGGGCCCCCAGATTATTTTTGGGGGGCGAGGGAGGGTTTAGAATCCCTCAGTGCCCTCCCACCACCCAGACCCCAGGCCAAGCGCGTGTGGCTAGCGGCCGACCCGACCTTGCCCACTGACTCCCTCCCGTGCACCCGCACCCGTTGTCGAGTCGGAAGACGGTCCGCGGCCTTAGTGCGTGCGGGGCCCGAGTCGCGGCGGTGACCACCCCCCTGGGGCAGCAGCAAGCCAATTTAGATTTAAACTTTGTCTCCTCTTCCTGCTCCCCATGCCCGGGTTCTCTTCGGTTCCGAGAACCGATCGTCGTTTGTTGGGCAGACACATTACCAAGCCGGCTATGTGTAGACTAAGTTACGAGAATCGTCACGCGTGTTCATTTGGCGAGATGTGACGCTCATCGCGTAGATCGATTAAATCGCAACAAAAAGGGGACGACGAGAGGGAGCGTACCTGTCTGCAAGGGAAGGAAAGAAAAGGTCGTGACAGAGGAGGTAGGAAAGTTCACAGCAAAAAGGGCCATCGACAAAAGAAAGTTGGGGAAAGCAGGAAAGAGACAAAAAAAAACGTTAGTCATATCCTGTATATTTTGGTATTAATGCTTCCGTGCATTTTTTTTTCTTTAAGTCTCATTGTCGCATTTACCCCTGGCTCCCAAATGTCGTGCACAGGCCTCGGATAGATCAATATGATGATGTAAGGAACATGCCGAAAAGGTGGCAGACAAAAATGAAAAAAAAAAAACATCTCGATGAACACAAAGGAAATATGGAATAGGGAGAGGGTAGGGGAAAAAAAAAAAGGCGGAAAAATCAGCACGAAATCAAGGAGATCCATCTAACCATAAAATGCAAATATCCCAAAAAGACCGAATGTCGTCAAGAGGCCAGGCCATCCTCATCGTATGCTAAACCACCGCGTAAATCCCTTGTCTTTCAACAGGGCCGAGAGCGACCTCGCCGGCAGGCTGATCAGGATCTCCGTGTCGTCCGAGAAGCGGCGGGCCGGCATGATGAGCACGTTGCGGAAGTCAAACTGCTTGCCCATCATGACCTTGCGGATGCTCTCGGCGCAGGCCCCGCCGGGCCCCCTGGGGTCATCGGGCACGCCCGGGATCTTGAACTTGGCGTCGGCCCCAAAGGGCTTCCACGTGTTGAACTGCATGTAGGCGGCCGAGTAGGGGTCGTCCACCAAGCCCAGGTTGCGCGGATCCGGCAGCGCCCTGTACAGGCCCGTCCGGAGCGCTACAAATGCCTCGTCGACGGCGTTGATGTTCTTGCGGATCGTCGCCGCGATCCCCCGGAGCTCGTCTAGGCGCACGTCCCCCTCTAGGCCCGCGTCGCTGACGTTCCTTGCTGCGCTCGACAGGCGCGCCGCATCCATCAGGAGGCTGCGTTCTACGATCGTCAGGCACTTGGCCGTCGCGTTGCCAAAGTAGTCGTCCAGTACGCCTATCAGCGGGCCGTGGGACAGGTTTCGCTTCCAGTTCACCGGGTTCGAGAGCGTCGCCATCTTCTCCCGGCAGGTCTCCATCTCGGACCTGTGCAGCGTGACATAGGCCCACAGCAGAGTCGACAGCGCAACGTACTCGCTCGGCTCCTGTCCCTGACAGCTCCGGAGACTCCTCCTGAGCGCGTCCAGCTTGACCTTGCCTATGGACGCGATGACGCAGCCTGTCCTCTCCTGAGAGGGGGGAGGCACCCGGTATGGCTGCGTCGGGCCCGTGAGCCACTGCGGATCGAAGGTGTATTCGGGACACCTTGACGCCAACAACGCCGCTGTGGCCTCGCGGGGCGCGCCCCTTGGTATTGGTATTCCTAGTGAGGTATAGCGGTCGTGGAGAAAGTCGAGCGGCAGGTGCAGCTTCCGCCGGTCCGAGTTGCGCTTCAGGACCTCGCCCCTGGTTTCGGCAGCGAAATCTTCGAGGAAGTCGCGCATGCAGTAGCCATCGCCAAAGGCATGATGTAGACATATCTGCAGGATGAGCCCGCCCTTTATGAAGAAGCCCCGGATGGCGACAACGGGGACCTCGTGTTTGGTTTCGGGAGTGGACACAGCGGCGGGGGCGGCGGCGACGCCGTTGGCTCCCGCCGGTGGGTTCTTGTCCGATTGGGTAGCGTCGGCTGGGTTGGGGTTAATGCCCAACATGAAAACCTCTGGGTTGTGGAAAAAAGGAGGCCGGGAAGCCCTTGGCGCGGAGCTGGTCGTAAGTCTCGTCGATTTCGCCCGAGACATCCTTGAACTTGGCGTCGATTCCGGTGGAGGGCGTCCAGAGGAGGACCCCGGGCTGATCGGAATACCGAGACAGACGCAAACGGCCCGCATACCTCGGTCGGTCTTTTGCCAGCTTGTTCAGGGCACTGGACAGCGCCCCCATGGCCTTTTCTCGTTCCTTCCGGTCTCCGTGGTGCGGGAAGCACATGCCGTACGCGACCCAGTCCCTCGGTGCTGTCTGGCTCCAGAAATCGAGAGGCGTGGTGGCATCAGAGCCCGTCGTGGAGGTGTGGGCGGCACCCATGGCTGTGGATTGGTCCATGTCGCTCCCCCCGCGCCGCGCCGAGCCAGGTCGCTGGCTCTGCGTTAGTCGGGCTTGCACCCTATTCTTGCTCTCCGCGCCTCTCTCTTCCTCGCTCGCCCACATACGCTCTCGGGACCTAGGGGAAGAAGAACAAAGGGAGAAAGGAGCAACCTGGCCTAGTAGCCCGCCCTTTCCCGCTTGTTCTCCACACCCTTTTGCAGAGTGTGGAGTGGTCGGGCTGTCGTGCGTCGGTGTCGTGTCCCTGCTTGAGAGAAGGTGGGTGTGCTGCGTGAGAGTGTTGCCTGCCTCTCCCATCCAGCCGGTGCACCGTGTCGATGTCGCTACAAGAAAGGAGCCACAGGCTTCGTTGAGTGTTGGTCGAATACTTGTGAAAGAAAAAAAAGGGTACAAAGTCGAAGAAAGAAAAGCTTGATGAATAAAAAAAAGAAAAAGAAAAAAAAAGAAAAAAAGAATAATAAAAAAAGTAGAGAAACCTAAGGGCCCGAGCCGTCGGCGGAGCCAGAGATAGAGGTCGGGGATGTGCTTTGGTTTCCAGATGTGTGAGTGTATATGTTTGTGCGTGCGTGTGCTTGTGTGGGTGTGAGTGTGGGTGTGTGGGTGTGGTATGGTACGGTATGTATGGTACGTGGTGTGTTATGTGTATCAGCAGTGGGTGTGTATGAGTGTGGGTATGCTGGCGCCTTATGAGGACTTGTCAGAGCAGGTCGGACTGCATGTACGCCTTCTTCCCTTTTCTTTCTGGGATGCCTGACTTCGGTTTCTCCACTAGTGTGCTGTGTGAGAATGGGCTACAAGAGATTCGGTTGCCTCGTTCTATCTGCCTCTTCCTTGGCCCTGCCAGGCGGGAGTCTGCATGTATTACCAGGTGGGAACGAGCGTGTGTAGGATGACGACGGTCGGGCGTGCTGCAGATGCTACGCGCGCTCCAAAAGATGGGGAGTGGCCCAATAATAAATAACGAGACGCAGGACGCACCGCTGTCTCTTTCCTGTATAACCAGAATCTAGACCACGAGCAGCGTCCAAGGAAAAGCAAGCATCAAATGATGGCGACGAGCCAATGCCGCGAGGCCACCACACGAATGACGGTGTTATTGTTCGCCAACAGCAAGGGAGCAGCAACAGCGATGAAAAAGCGGCGATATCGGTGCCATTGTTGGCTTGGGCTGGGGCTGGGGATGGTGTTGGCGGCGCAGGCGATGCTGTTGGTTTTGGGGCAGCGCGATTTCTGGCGATGCCGAAGATGGGCTGCTGGAGCCTGGGTCGGGGCTGGGAACTGGGGCCGATGCGGCAGCGCTAATTATAGGAAGGGGGCGGGCCGTCAGTGAATTCATCTTTCCCCGGGAGAGGCAGGCAGGCCCTCCTTCTTGGGGGGCTTGGGCTGCTTCCAGCGAAAGATGAACCCAAGGGGCGGCGGCGTCGTAAGGCGTAAATCCCAAGAGAGCAGGGGGGAGGGGGGTGGACAAGTCACCAAGCCGGTGGCTTTTTGGACATGGAATGGATGTACGCTTGCGTGACTGGCCGGGCTGGCGGTCGAGGTTGGGACGGAAAGGAGGTGAGACTTTCGGTCAATGGTTGGCAGAGTTGTGGCATCAAGCGCCAGCATGCACCGGGTGTGACGTTTTTATGCTGCCCTCACCCTTCCCTTTTGCCGTCGTTTCTTGCGTCTCCTTGTCGCTCTTCTTCTTTTGGTACCGGCCGCCCAGAGCTGCTCGGGGAAAGGAGAGGAGGCTCCGCGGGGTCGTGTCGGCAGCACCGGACAGCGCACAATTGACAGGGGGGTGCTGGAAGGGATGGGGGTGGATGACAGGATGGGCAGGACCAAGCGCGCAAGGAACAGCAGGCGTGAAATGGCGGCGGGAGTGACGGAGCAATACAAGGCCCCGAGACACGGGGAAAGCGACCGGGAAAAAAAGAATGACAGGCAGGAAATGGGGTCAAAAACAAGGGGCCTGCACTCAGTCTCTTGTCCACCGCTTTACATAATAGAAGAAGTACACTATTTGCATGGATCAGGGAAGGTCAGGGAGGGCACGACAGGGTGGAGAAACCCCCAAGCTGGGAGGCGAAATGATAGTCCGCCAACGCGCGCCGGGTGTGAAGGAGAGAGCCACAATGGGGGTGATGGAGGGGATGGGTATGGGTGATGGGTGATGGAGGTGGCTGCGGAATGGGCGATAGATGGAGGCAATAATGATAGGTGGGAAGCAAGGAAAGAGCCACGACCCAATGTTGGTTGGTGTGTTCGGCTCATTTGACGCCTTCCGGACAGAGAATCCAAATCGTCATCCAAACATAACCAAGCCACACCCAAGAAAGGGAAGGGTGGGCCAACAAAAAGAAAAGAAAGCACACGAAAAATAAAATAAGATAAAACGAAAAATTGCCCGGCCCCCCAGCCAGGCACATCCCTGGGGGATACGCGGGGTCTGACTGCAGCGGACAATCAGCATCGAGGGTGTTGTGTGCACGACCGTACTCGAGAACAAAGGTGTGGCCACATTCCTATCGACGCACGCGCCTTTTCTTTCCTTCTTTTTGCTTTGCTATGGCTTCTGCTCTTTACCTTGGTTGGCAGTTCGGCCGGACGGGGACACGCATTCCACAGACAGGAAAGATGGCCTCGCAGAGAGCAGGCGCCCGACGCACATCACAGACAGGGCTCTCAGCCGCCAGCCTGGCCAAGAGTGAGCTGCGGCAGACACAGCATGAAAGCGCAACCCCCCAAGTACGTAGGTGTGTCGATAGATGCCTACCCGGACAGGTAACTACGGTACACATGTGAATGGATACGTGAAGGAATGTATACAGTCCGTCACGGACGACGTTCGGCCCCCATCTCACCTTGGGTTGCTAGACGCAATCCAGCTAGGCAGTGGCCGGGGTAAAGTGGTGAACAACTCACCATGCCTCGTCGTGTTCCATCCACTGCCCATCCACTGCCCATCCACGCAGCGCAGCAGCTCGGCTGCGCGGTGGCCGCTCCGCCCGCCCGCCGCCCCTCGACCGACTTGCTTTAGCCGCCATCCATGTCGACTCGACGTTTGATGCCCGGGGGTGCTGCTGCAGATGGCTACCTTTGCGAGGTGCTTGTTGGACCAAAAGGCACGGCTAATGCAGACAGACGGCTACCTGCCTTGCTCGGTGAGCAAGCGTGGCCACCAATCGACTTGTGCTGGCCCTGGGCTGGGGCCTCACCAACGCCGGCGGACGGGAGAGGAGAGAGGAGAGAGAGGCAGGGAGAGGCGACAGAGAATGGAGGAATAAAGAAAAACCTTGGGGGAAAAAAAGGGCTAATAAGCGGGGTGGATCGGGGCGGTCTCAGCTCTGCAAGTCCCGCTGCATGGGGAAGGAGGTTGATACTAGGAAAGTACGAAAGCTGCGTGTGAACTGTTTGGGTGATGATGTTGCTTTTTTTCTTTGCTTTTCTCTCTCTCTCTCTCTCT